AAATGTGAAATTCTTACGAAGTGGTGAAAACACAGAACGATTTGCATACTGAGATTTCACAGTGTTTTGCATGAGATGCTAAATTTTCGAAACATCGAGTTACAAAATTGACCATGAATATATTTTAGAAACCACACTCGTTTTTGCGAGTTCTCGTCTAATTTGTAATCCGGTTTCCAATTTATGTTAACAATTAACATACCTTCTAGTTACGGGCAACATACATTTTTTGTTTTGTTGAACTTCAGCATATAGTAACTCGAATGTTAATTAACAGTTATTTTTCCCATAACTCGAAATTTGGTTAACTGTCGTTTGGTTAATTGTTAACCGAACGTCAAGTTACAATTTGGCGTGGCATCTCGTTTTATACTTGCCTACAACAGGATTAACAGACATAAAATGTAAATGAGGTATATACCCTAAATACACGGTGTCAGTACCCGATTCAGGTGGACGGATCACTCTTGTAAAAGTCGGTGAAACTAGCTTAATTACAGTGTTAATTATTGCAACAACAACTGTAAGCACAATTTGATCACCCCATACATCATATTTTGAATATATTGGTCCCAGCTCAATTTCATGTCCAGGAGATCTGCATTCACAAGATCCTATTAAAATAATGAATGCAGAAGCGGATTCATTCTTCATTTACTGTTTCAATTATTTATATTAACTTAATAAACAACTTACATTCGATGATTAGCAATAAATATACAGTTAGAAAGAAGAAGAATATTTATATGATATAATATTGCAACATGCATATATAATTAATTCCAAATTCAAGATTTTCTTTAGAATTTATCATGTAATCAATTACTATTTGTCGTAACATCAGATGATTCAGAACGTCTTAGGGGATATTTAGTTTTCCACTCATCTGGTCACTTAGAGCGTGGAACAGGCAATTGCCGTCACCAGAAGTCGGTGGATTTCTTATCTTTAAGCCTTCTTTCCGTAGGGCAGCATTCAGCTCATCAGTATGTTTTGCAACATGTTCTGCTTCCATTCGTGACTGTTTTAACACATTTAATAAATCCAAGAACTCTTTGATAAACACTGTATTATACAAAAACATAAGAATCGTCACAGGTCACGTTTATGCTTTACTTGTAAGACCTATATATACGACAGCATTCCATAATGTTGGTACTTTTGTTTATAAATGAGATTGGTATACATACTACTATCTTCCTGCTTTCCTGACATATCGTCTTTGTTTCCAAGTGAACCAAGTATTCCCTTGACATATTCTATGTCTGATGTTTGCCATAACGTGGTATCTCCATTGTTCCCATGTAAACAAAACCAGTGTTCCAATTTTAAACAGTTTTATACATTTTAACCTGGCATTAATCCTATAATATTCTATCTGTGGTACTAGGTGATATGTAATTATTAGATTGAACTGCATCATTGTATTTCATTAAGCATTTAGTTAATGGTATTCAATACTGTATTTCATGATTTATAATAAAGATAACAATATAATTACGTATGTAGCTGGATTTAGTGTACTGACTGGCACAGCAGAGTTATTGGCTAAAATTATAAAGTAATAGCAAAATACATACACGTGAGCACAATATGCAATGAAACGCGATTATAACGAGCGTGAATTTGAATCAGGAACACATCACTCTACCGAGTACAATAATCTGTTTTAAATAACAATCAATTAACAAATTCACGATCCCACGCCAATGTAAACAAAAATCCATTTCTATTTCTTACCGGGTATTATAAATAAACTTCAGGATACAGATTTCCTCAAAAATATCAATCATGACATCATAGGTCTCGGAGAAACATGGCTTACTCCTGAGAAACAAGAATGTTTAATTTATCTGGTTACTATGATTACTGATTTGTACGAAAGAATAATAAGAGAGGCAGGGTTTCAATCCTCATAAGAAAATCAATAAAAAAGGCATAACAATGCTGATATGATTTGGTGTAAATTAAAAAAAAAACAGTTCTTTAATATTGACGAAGATTTGTACATTTGTTTTTTATATAATCCGCCAGAAAATTCAACTAATCAGTCAAATTCTTTTTTTGATCAATTGGAAAAAGTTATAACTGGTTATAGTTCTAATGGTTCAGTTCTAATTATGGGTGATATTGATTCCCGAACTAGTCTTCTCAGTGTTCTCACCAGGATCTGTTTTTGTGGGGCCATAAAGGCCCATCGTTTGAAAAAAGCAGGGCCATAAACTATAAAATTGGGCCGGGGTAAATTGGTTTAAGGAAATGTCCCCCCTACCTATCAAAGAATAACAATTTCCATGGTGTAACCATTAATGGGTAAATAAAATTGGGTCAAGGCGAAAGTCATAACACATTTGTTTTGCACATGATGTTCAGAGACTTCTTGTTGTGCAAGGTTTAGGGAACCGAGGACTGAGGTTTTGAAAATACTCTTCTTTGTTTCTGGTTTCTCCAGTGATGAAGAGCTTTATTAAAGTCAAACTGTGCCATCTCAGGTCCTTCAATTTCTATTAGGGACAGGATATCAAGTCTCTCAGGACCTAGGCTGTTTCTTACCGATGATTTTATTATATTTTGCTCACTAAACCCCCTCACAGTCAGCTGAATGAACAGGTAAGGTAAGTGCTATTGCTGACAATTTCAGTAAATTTGGAAACAAATCTCTGAAATTTATGAATAATTGACCACAAACTGGAAAAGTTGGCAACTGGATACTGTTGAATCAATACAAGTTGTTTTAACTGTGTCTGTGTCCATTCTGCAACAGTGTTTTTACTGTCAACAATATTGATATCATTCTTACACACCATAGAATCACCACAACCTTCATTATGTTTATCACATTTATAGTGTTCCATCAGCAGTTCAATTGTGTCATTACCCAACGTTTCTAACTCTTGTTCACTGAGAAATGTTACTGGCTTCAGACCAAGAATACTAAATGCTGACACCAATTCTTGACTGTCCTGAAAAAGAAATATAGATAAATTAGTTAAAAATAATATTTTAAGCAGAGTGGTTTGCAAACATTACAATGTATTTTACGTAGTGTACACATACAATTTTAAAGTTTAAAATTATTAATTAAATTTAAATAAAAACATACCTCAGAGAATCTGTTGGAGATATTCTCTGTAAGTACATCAAGAAACTGTTTCTTGACATTCAATAAATGTTGGATCTTCTGGGCACCTGCTGACAGTTAGTGTCCTTCGTAGGTAAGTTTTCCATCATCTTCAAGTAGTTTCTGATTAAATTCCTCCAGGAAAGTTAGTTTTGACTGATGCTCACTTTTCAAGTCATGTAACTGTGCTAATAAATTGTATAATGCACAAGTCTATATCACGTTTCTGGAATAGCATGAATACTTGAGTAAAAGGAGTCATAGCATCCAGCATAAGGTGAGTAACACCTACAAATTCATATTCTGTAAGTTTCTTAGCATAGCCTTTGGACTGAAGATTAGTTTTAGCCATCTTCAACAAAGAAAGTTACCAGTGAATCCCAGGTACGGTACACAGTTTCCATTGCTTTGTAGAAAGATAGCCACCTATCTGTCTGAACTTCTTTGTAGGTTCATTTAATTGCTCCAGAATTTCAGTTATTTTTTCTACACGCTTTGCAGATCTCTTAAAAAAGTAAAAAAATACCAGTCAATGTCTCTTGATAACTGTTAATAACACTTACTTTGTTGGCAGCTTGTGATGTACACAGCGCAATTTTGTGTGCTATGAAATGAATGTTTATAAGTTTGGAATTAACTGTATTTTCAGACGTGCAGATACACTATTGCTCTTGCCTGTCATAACAGCCGCACCATCACTTCCTAAACCAGTCATACATTTGGTTTCTACTTTACATATCTTTCAGTTTTTCAGTAATAGTTACAGCTGTTCCATCACTAACTTTTTCATTTCCAAGAAAATGGGTTACTTGTATAAACTGGGAGTTTGACAAGCGACAATAAATAACATTTTTTTGTCATCGCAATGTTAGTACTCTCATCTGTTATAAGACTACAAGCAGGAGATGTAACTAGAGCATCTTGCAATTCAGACCTGAGAACATGGGCAATAGAGTCCTGAAACTCGGTTGCTATGACATCACTGTGGTAAACAGCATTCTCGCCACATTTTAATTGATTTATATCAGGACAATGCATGTCTTCTAGGAAATAGAGCAGACCACCGTATTTACGAATAGAAAGTCCTTCCTTTGACATCCAATATACACTTTTCATTCCAGCTATTACACCCATTTCGCGTTTTGACATTTCTCGCTGTACAACATCGGCGACTGTGTTTGATTGCATTGCCTGTGCAGCAACTGCAGTATTGTGATACTTTTTCTGCATGTCTCGTTAACGTACTGGTTTTGAAATTATTACCGTGTCATAGCATTATTATTTTTTGAAAATACACACCAACTACAGTACATCAAATCTTCATCATCCCTGTATTTCAGCCATGGATGAGTTAACCAGCTTCGCTGAAATCGTCGATGTTCCTTGGCTTTATTTTTAGTGACACTCTCCGCAGTCGCCTCTAATGATATTATGTCAGAATTTTAATACTTTCATGTTAATAATTTCACTATTTACTCTGATCATTGTCAACTAAGCACATTACTCAAAGTTGGTTATTTGGAGCAAAAGAGTGACAGAAATAACAATTTAAACCTGCCTCCTTCAAAATGGAAATGGAATAAGTTATCCTTTTTCAACTATCACGTGAAACTTAAATCAACTGGTACATATTTTCCAATTAATAACTTTAATAAGACTAGTTACAGTAAAACACAGGAGAACATTAATTAACCAAGCCACTTCTTCATTTAATAATAATGTCAACCATGCTGCCACTTGAATCTTTAAGAAGCAAAACTAGAAATAATCATAAATGGTTTGATAATGATTGTAAATTAAAAGATATCTTGTAGCAACTGCAAAATTGATTAATAGATTTCCTTTTGACAATAATCTTAGGGCAACTTATTATGCAAAAAGAAACAATTTAAAAAAATATTAATCCAAAAACATGTCAATACTTTAAACAATCTCCATGCAAATAAATCTAATGAGATGTGGAATATTCTAAATCTTATGAAGGAGTCTAATCAAGACAAGAAAAATATTAACCATGTCTCAGATAACATGAACTTACATACGTTTCATGATAGTGTTAAAAATGAATTATTAAGATTTGAAAACAGTGTATCACACAAATATATATTCGATACAGAAATTACGCAAAAAGACATTGTTAATGCATTAAAAATACAAAAAAACTAAAAAAGCAGCAGGCTTGGATGGTTTATGTATTGAACTTTTGAAATACATTTGTAATTTCTTAATTGATCCTCCAGTTAAATTATTGTATTTAATTCATGAATCTTCAATATTTCCGGATATTTGGAATACCAGTATAATTACACATTTATATAAAAAAGGTGACAAACATGATTACCAAAACAACAGAGGAATATCTGTATCTAGTTGTATTGGTAAATAATTTTGTAGCATAATAATTTCTGGTCTTAAAAACCATATTGAAGAGAACAAACTAATCTGTAATAACCAAGCTGGTTTTAGAAAGTACCATCGTACTATTGATCAAATTTTTGTCTAAACCCTAATTTCCAAACAATTATGTAAGAAAAAGAAACTTTTTGTATGTTTTGTCGATTTTGCTAAAGCTTTTGATTCATTTTGGAGAATAGGACTTTCTTACAAACTTCTTAAATATAATATTGTGACATAAATTGTAAGTTAAAAGTACAGAGCCCTGACTGTGTGAATGAAAAGCGCACATGTTTGGATACTTTGCAACAACCCATTGCACATGTTTATTTTTAAGACTGCTGATACAGTCACTGGATTGTGTTGTCAGCAGAAGTTCAGATACATACATCCTGTCTCTCCCTGTGGCATAATGGTATGTCTCAGACAGTGACATGGTGATTGTGAAATACCTTGGAATGTGCTGAGCCCAGTGTTGTTGGCAATGAAAATAGATATGACATCATTGACCCGAGTCTCCTACTTTAAATTGGTAGAGCTTAGATTAAGAGTGGTTTATCCACTATGAT